GGGGGAGAAAATGGGGGAAAACAGAAGAGGGGAAAAGGGATAAAATGGGAGAGAAAACGGGGGAAGAAAACAGAAAGGGTAGAAAATAGGAGAGGGAGAAAATAGAAGGGGGGAAATGGGATAAAACAGGGGAGAAAACGGGGAGGAAAGAGGATAAAGCAGGAGAAGCTGAGGCTGCTCCATCCCCGGACGTGCCCAGGGCCAGGCTGGAGCAGCCTGAGCACCGGAGGGTGTCCCGGGATGATCTCCAAAGCCTCTCCTTCCCAAAGGCTCCTGGAGAGAGGGAATTGAGCTGCCCCAGGGCCCGGCCTCACCTCTGGCTCTCGCTGGCCAGGAACTGAGCCAACATCCTGACTGCCTGCAGCTCGGGGCTGCAGCTGCCCTGCAGCTCCTCCAGCACCACGCCGAACTTCCTCTGCACCGCAGCGACGGGAAGGGAGCGGGGAAACGGGAAAGGAGAAATGGGAAATGGAAAAGGGAGTAGGGAAACGGGAGAGGAGAAATGGGAAACGGGAAAGGAGAAATGGGAAACGGGAAAGGAAAGCAGGGAAACGGGAAAGGAGAAATGGGAAACGGGAAAGGAGAAATGGGAAATGGAAAAGGGAGTAGGGAAACGGGAAAGGAGAAATGGGAAATGGGAAAGGAGAAATGGGAAATGGGAAAGGAGAAATGGGAAACGGGAAAGGAGAAATGGGAAACGGGAAAGGGAGCAGGGAAACGGGAAAGGAGAAATGGGAAACGGGAAAGGGAGCAGGGAAAGGGAGTGGGGAAACAGGAAAGGAGAAATGGGAAACGGGAAAGGGAGCAGGGAAAGGGAGTGGGGAAACGGGAAAGGGAGTGGGGAAACGGGAAAGGAGAAATGGGAAATGGAAAAGGAAGTAGGGAAATGGGAAAGGAGAAATGGGAAACGGGAAAGGAGAAATGGGAAACGGGAAAGGGAGCAGGGAAATGGGAAAGGAGAAATGGGAAAGCAGGAAAAGAAAAGAAGGAAAAGTAGGAAAAGAAAAGAAGGAAAAGCAGGGAAGAAAACAAAGAAAAGTAGGAAAAGAAAAGAAGGAAAAGCAGGGAAGAAAACAAAGAAAAGTAGGAAAAGAAAAGAAGGAAAAGTAGGAAAAGAAAAGAAGAAAAATAAGGGAAAAAAAAAGAAGGAAAAGAAAGGAAAAGAAGGGAAAAGCAGGAAGAGAAAGGAGGTTAAATCTGAGCAGAACTCTCAGGGATCTGCAGGGATAGGGACCCCAGGGCACAGATGGAAATGGATTTGGGATTGGGATGGGATTCCAGGGGCCAGGGAATGGATTTGGGATGGAATTCCAGGACCCAGGGAATGGATTTGGGATGGAATCCCAGGACCCAGGGAATGCATTTATACTGGGAAGGGGCTGTGGGTGGGATTTGGGAAGGGATTCCCAGGTGGGATTCGGGCAGAGATTCCGGGTGGGATTTGGGCAGGGATTCCCGTTGGATTTGGGAAGGGATTCCTGGTGGGATTTGGGAAGGGATTCCGGGTGGGATTCGGGCAGGGATTCCGGGTGGGATTCGGGCAGGGATTCCCTGGTGGGATTTGGGCAGGGATTCCCGGTGGGATTGAGAAGGGATTCCCAGTGGGATTCGGGCAGGGATTCCCTGGTGGGATTCGGGCAGGGATTCCCTGGTGGGATTCGGGCAGGGATTCCCGGGGGCTGTGGCTGTCCCGGGCGGGTTTAACCCCTTCCCCGCCGGCCCAGCCCCTCACCTGGGCGATGTAGGCCCGGAACAGGAACACGTCACGCTGCAGGGCCTGCTCGGGGCTGCGGGGCTGCAGAGAGCAGCGGTGGGACCGGGAGCGCAGAGCCCATGGAACCCACCCCACAGAGCCCACCCC